TGAGAACCTGAATCCAGTTTATTAGGCTGCCAGGGTGAGAACCTGAATCCAGTTTATTAGGCTGCCAGGGTGAGAACCTGAATCCAGTTTATTAGACTGCCAGGGTGAGAACCTGAATCCAGTTTATTAGGCTATCCAGAATCATAGCGCTCTACACACTGTACAGGAGAAAGGTGCTGGCAAATCCTACTTTCAAATCTCAGACAGGCAGCTGCAGTGCGATCCCTGAGACATATACTCTAAGTCAGTGTTTCCCAAGCCAGTCTTTGGGACACACTGGACAGATCCACATTTTTGTTTAATCCCAGTCCCTAGAACACCTGACCCAAGCAATCAAGAGCTATAAATACCTTACAGGTGTGCTGAGAACTGGAATAAAGCAGAATTGTGGATCAGTCCAGTGTACCCTGAGCACTGGTTTGGGAAACACTGCTCTAACTTCCAGGACAATCCAGAGTCTTTTATGGACAAGGTGGGTTGGCATAGAGCTACCTGCTACACTTACTGTGACCCCAGCTCTCATCGTTGGCTTATATCCAAGGCCTTTCCCTGTTCCATTTAAACCTTTTGTACTGTTGAGTACTTTCAATAAATCGTTGGACATAAATGTTGAGTTTAAAAGGTAAAACATATGAATATGTTATAGTTAATTTATTCCTCTTAATATTATAGTAGTTCAGCATAGTCTATACTTTAACATGCTGTTCTTTCGAAAATGTTACAAGGGTCTTGTGTCGAAGATGGCCGTCGTCATGCTTGCTGTATCTGCTCCCACGCAGGGCCTCATGGGAGCTTCGGGAATTATGGGACCTCAAGGGGGGCGAGGTCCTCTTGGCCTGCCAGGCTTCCCTGGGCTGAAAGGTCAGCCAGGTCCTAAAGGGATCCAGGTATTAGTCTCTCCCTGGCCACATGTCCCTGCTTTTGTCCCCCAGCAGGAAAACCTGGCACTACATGGGTGTCTGTCTGAGCCGTCACCCATCAGAAAAGGACAGAAAGACCTGGACAGATTTTTTTTTTGTCTCTCTATTGGATTTCTGTGCTTCACATTCATAGAATGGAACAAGAAACAAACCATATAATGGCATTAATGCCAACCAGAGTTGAATAATTCAGGTCCAGAGAGTAAAAGGCCAGACTGGGATTTTGTTTCAATGAACCAGTTGAGCCTAAAGAGTTGCAGTCACAAAGTACTGTATTCAACTGGTTGGTTGAAACAAAATCCCGGTCTGGACTTGTACTCTCTGGACTTGAATTACCCAACTCAGGTGCAAACCATTGATTACTAACTACTGTACGCCGCAATCTATTCAATGCTCCAGATCCTTAATTCTGCTCCACCCCCCTATGCTCTATGCCCATCCCACCCTTATCATACCCTCAAACTTTAAATGGGACGATGGGGGGGGCAAGGACTGTAAAGGAAACAAATTAGTCAAAATAAAAATATATAAATGGCAGATTCTGGGGGACAGAAATGGTTACCAGCACTTTCAACTGTTTTCCCACAAAATATGATGTCACAGTGTCATTCAGTATGTATACCTAACCCTAAACCTTACCGCTACTCTTACCGCTAATGGGAAGTTTGTATCTTTCACAGGGTGAAGACGGAGAGTCCGGCATTCAGGGAAAAATTGGCAAGGAAGGTTTAAAGGTCAGAGACACCTTGTACTAACCCGAGGCGTATAAATGGGAGACAGGAGAGGCCATGGGGCAACCTGCTTCTGTTCCCCATCTTTACAGGTAGCACTGGCTTCCACCAGAAGTAAGGGAGATCATTCCGAGTTTTCCGACAGCCTTCAAGGTCGTCGGCATAAAATAAACATTCTCCGCGCGCATTCCTGCACCCTTTGGTGTAATCTTCCGCTCTGCTACTGTTTACATGCTATCTGGTTGCTCTCTACACATAGACAAGGAAAGCTAAATTCTTGTCCAAAATGCATCTAGAAAGTGAAGGGACATCTCAGACTGTTATTTGAATTTTATTTGCATATTTGAGTTTTTTGTTTGCATAGCTCTTTTCTGACACCCAGCAAAGTCACAGCAGCGGTTCTGAATGTGCCTGTGTGTCGTTATTAAGGGGGTCAGAGGACTTGAGGGACGTCCTGGAAAACAAGGAGCCAAAGGCCCTCGGGTAACTCTTGCCCTTGCTGTAAAGACATTGACTTATTTATTGTGGTTTATATCCCATAGAGGACTGCAGGGGGCGCGGTAGTTAATGAGACAACCCTAAAATACAGCCCTGTCCCTCCAGGGTCGCACGGGGCAGCGAGGACTCTCTGGCCCACCGGGAGTGCCGGTAAGGAGTGTGAATGCTGGACTGGACGCCCTTTTGAAGTGACTAGTTTATAACCCCATGTTATACTATGTGTATTTGTCTGTGTGTGTCCCTGTTTTTTTGTGCCTTACAGGGTTTGCAGGCCTTGTCTGGGGCTGAAGGACCTGAAGGAAAGCCTGGTACACAGGTTCCCATTCTATATATTCTCATACCCTGATCATCATTCCCATGCACCGCCCATTGCCTGCACCCACACAGCCATGTTTGGCTCCTGCTGGTCATGTGACCTAGAATCAGGTGCCTGCTGGTATCCGCTGATTGCAGAGCAGGACAGGCAGCAGAAATGTTGTTTTTCTCTGCTAATACGGAGGACGTGGCCATGTTCATTTACAGCAAAGTCTGAGATTAGCTGAGGGCCTGGGTAGCGCAAAGGACGATCTGCCCTGTATTTGCTCCTTGCCCCCAAAGCATTCTGGGAGTTTGCTAGAGAAATCTCCTCCGGTGAGACCCGGCAGACCATTGTCATTACAGGAATGAGATGGTGCTCTCCATTTTTTTGCCAGTTTCTCTGACTTTGTGTTTATTGTGAATGAGGTTGTTTATTCCCTTCGCTTGTTGCACTGTGACTGATTTAAAATGTAAACTGATGGAAATGTAAAACAGTCACTCTGTGAGGTGGATTATCGCAAATGCGTAAACGCTGGCGTAAGCTGTGGACAGCAGTTAGTTCAGTGGTGTGAGGGGGCTCTTTCATTCTACTCACGTTCATGTTTCGTTTCCTTTTGTTTTTGCTGCTGTGGGTGTGTGTGACTGTTCCTGACTGTCTCCCTCAGGGACATCCTGGTGTGCCCGGGAATGCAGGCAGCAGAGGACCCAGGGTGAGTGAGTGTCTGATCTCCACTAAAACGGGGCCTTAATTAACCTTGTCTAACAAAATTTTAGAACCCTCACCCCCTACCAAAGATCTGCATAGAAAATAGCCTTTGACTGTACCGATTTGCCTTTGACTATCTCAGAAACACACTGATTAACACATGCTGTCTTGCTGTTCATTTTCAATGTAATTTTCCCTTTAAACATTGTGATTAAGCTTCTTTTTTAGTGCATGAGCCTCATTTTATGTTGGGTCTCTGGTTTTGCACAGGTGTTGTTCCTTTAGCCTTTTTTTTATAGTGGATTTTATGTTTCTGTATTTTAGTCATAATCTTTCAACAATCAAATTCAGTTCAATAAGATCCTCCCATTCTCTCATTCCCACCCCCTTTCTTTTTTCATCCTCACCTTTTTCTCTCATTGTTTCTTCTTTTTTCTGCTCCCTCTCTTTATCACCAGGGTTTTCGAGGGGCCCCTGGAGAAAGAGGACAGGAAGGCCCCCCCGGAGCCCCGGTATGCCCCCCTACCCCGGCCCACCCCTTTGTCCTGTTGGTTCTGGGATGTGTTAGGGGGACTGTATCCTCATGCTGTCCCTCAGAGTCATCATGGTGGGGGAGTCATGCATCACGAGTAGCCGTGTTCCTGTATTCCTGCTTCCTGCTGTGTTGACCAACACCCCCCTGGGGTTCTGAGAAGGGGGCACTTAGGAATCCCGTTCTACACCACAACAATTTCAGATAAAATGCTTCTAAGCATGGAGATCTTGTCTTGAAGCATTGTGCGCTCTGGTTGCTATAGTGAAAGCTCCCCCTAGTTCACTTAGGCTGGGGAGATGTGACCGTTAAGTGTTATCGGGCGAGAAAGATGCAAAATGGTGGCCCCAGATCGCAAGGTTCCCCTGAATTGCTTCACAACACAAACAGCTGGATAAAAAAGGTCTTGGGATGATTACTGTTGCTGGCTGCTTTGGAAACGTCTCTGCTCGGGAAATAAACACTAAGCATAACCCAAGTGTGCATAAATCCTGGCAAAAAACATGCGGAGTCTGCCGCAGGGTTTAATTACAGCGTTAGGGGGTTGTGTGCAGACCTGATGTTCTGCAGCGGGGCCATGAAACGGCAGATAGAGAGCCAGCCCGGCTGAACTGAGCCATAAACCCGAACCGGTGGTTCACACTTTTGTCATTCAGTGGGGTTTTTATATTCTTTTTTTACATCAGCATCTGTTTAATCCCATTTAAACTGTCATATAAAGATAAATGCATCCATTTTCAGTCTGTGGTTCTGCTGGATAGAATGCAGTGACTGTGATCGGAAGGTCGTGAGTTCATATCTCTGTAGCAGGAGAGTTATTTCAGTGTCGGGCTCTTGAGCAAGGCTGAGGACCCCCAATTTCTCCAGGGGCTATTTGACCCTCCCTTCTCTAAAATGTGTGTTACTGTAGATAAAAGCATTTGCCAAATAACGCACTGGGTGTTTTAGGGCTTGTGGGTTGTTTGCCGGGTTGTTGTTGTTGTCGGGGAGTTCTTCCACGAGCCGCATGTTAGGATCTCTGTCCAGTGCTCCTTCACCTACCCCAGCTTGGCCAGACCCAGAAAAGTGTCCTGCGTGCTGTGTCACCCCAGTCCACCTCTCCGCATTTCTCTGCTTTTGGCCAGTAGCTGCTCTGCTGTTTACAAATTCAATTATTTTTTTAATTCTTGGACAAATATCGCTCTGTTTAAACTGAAATAGCAAAGTATGTATGTATATTGAAATATCTGCGGGGCGTGAGAAATATTAATGTAGTTATTATTATCAGTTAAATATTAGATAAGTTAAAACAATGATTCAAAATCAAATAATAAATTAGTCATTGAATCATTAATATAAATGAGATGTATTTAATGATTTCGTGACAGGGTCCTCCAGGAAGACCAGGATCAGAAGGTTTCTCTGGACCCCATGGTGAGAGGGTGAGTTTTCCAGGGAGAGTTCACTTCCAGGAAGGAGACAAAGTCTGTTGTTTTGGGTGCAGTTGGAGTCCAGCAAGTCAGTTTTTTACCTTAAACACGGAGCTGCTGAAGTCCTCTGGTGCTGAACGTGAACGTAGCTGGTTTAAAGGTATTTGATGAAGTTGATCACCAGTACTGCTCCCATTATGAACAAAAGGACACAATCCTAAAACCTTTGCAGGAAAAGTACTATGCTGCAGTCTAATAGTAAGACCTTTCCTGTTTCGTCTGAGGAATGGTCTGAACATGATTTTGTGTAGTTTTGTGTTACTGTGGGTATGTATATCTGAATTTGTATGTACGCAGATTCATGTCTGCTTGATCAACAGTATCGACAAAGGAAGTGATGTCATAATTCTCCTGCCCATTCGTCTTGTGTACTCTTACCTCCCAGGGCTTCATGGGAAAGGAAGGCATGGAGGGGCCACAGGGGCCAGTAGGCATGTATGTAAGTGATTCCTGATCTTGTTTTACTCAGAGGGCAGGGGGGGTTGGTGGGGGGGGGTGGTGGATGTCACTGGAGTCCAGGTGTATTTCTGTCTACCACAATGAGAATGTGGAGGACCTTTTTAGGTCATTAAATTTATGGCTTTAATTTCATATTTTCATACTGAATGCATGCAAAGGAATGAAGATATTATTCAGTTGGAGTAAATAATGCCTCCAGAGTCAAGGGTCTGTTTTTGGTCTTGGCTGTGAGTCCGCATGTGCCCCATATGCTTCTGTGAGTCTTCCTCTCAGTGCTGCTCTGCTTCCAGAATTCCATGGGGTCCCAGTGAAAGAGTGACCCTGATTCTGTGCAGTCTGGGATTAGCGCTGGACTGACCCAAACTGAACTGGACAATGTATTGAATTATTACTGAGAATTGGCTCATTTTGAAAGCCTTCACATCATTCTGGCCTTATTGCCTGTCCTGATTTCAGATGCACGCCAGCTTGTTGATACGGTCGTTCTCTGCAGGATAAATTAGCTTGAATCGCTGTGTTTGTGTTTCTGCGCTTGTTTCCTCTCTCTGCAGGGCTTCCCCGGAGCAGTCGGCATGCGTGGAAGGCCAGGACTCATGGGGGAGATGGTAAGGGTGCCGCTGGGCTTACCACAACCATCTGGACATCAGTATACACATCTTTACCCTACCTTGCACCAGGGGTGCTGCTAGAGATTTTGGACCCCATGAAAGCTTATCAAATTAGGCTAATTGCCCCTCCCTGGCACTCAAATGAATTAAATACATCCACAATAGTACTAAGCTGGTACAAAGGTGGTAGTGGTTTAATAACCTCTTTTATAAAGCGTCGAAAGCCCTTCCACTCAGCTTGCCGATATCCAGCAGGATCTCACTTTTGTGATAGTCACTCACGTTGACTAGCCATGTCACATTCCTACCACTAGGGGGAACCTGGAGCACAAGGCCTGCCGGGACCACCAGGGAAAGGCGGCTCAGTGGTAAGTGTGCGTCTCGTCCCAGTCCCATGCGGGTGTTCATGGATAACCAAGATGAGCCCTCGATCGCTCCAGCCCAGGAGGGGGTCAGCAGCTGTATAAAATTTCCCAGTTTCCTAATACATTTTCATTAGATGCCGTCAAGAAAACCCAGCCCAGGTTAGATTTAACAAATCAGAATGGTTTATTTTCATGGCAAATAAAAACTAAATTTTCAAGTCATTATCTTTGACATCACTTTCATTTCCGCAGCCGGTTTCTGCTGGTGATTTTGGGATTTCGTTACAAATATCCTGAAACTCACTGTTTTTCAAGCTTTAGTTTGATACCTAGTGTGTCCGATTTTTTTTTGTAGGTTTCTATCAGAAAATTGAGGGTGAAATATTTTTGGTCGAACCATTGAAATCTTGACTTTGATCAATGGATAGTTTCAGTGCAGTTTTTGAAAGAAAGACAAGGCAAAAAGAGCAAGTAATAACCTTTATTTTATTTTAAAACATTATATGAAATTTATGAACAGAGAAATGGCAAGTTGAATCTGAAGTGTTTTGGACCAATGTCTACACCAGTCAATGCGCATACCTGCCGGCACCTACTCCCATTGATGCTGGGACATGCGCCCCATTGCTTCCCCTGGGATTCTCTTGTTCTTATCTTCTTTGTTTTGCTGCAAGACAGCTGGACCCTTTGCTGAAATGGCTCAGCTTACGTATGATGTTCAAAGGTACAAAAGCCGGTCCCAAGCGGAGCGTACGACCCTTTGGTTACGGTTTCCTTACCACTAGACTCTTCGGCACCTCATTATGTGTGGCGGAATAAAGTGTGGGGTTTGCTCGTGGTTTACACAAAAATGTTCTGAGGGCAGAACAAAAAATTATAAGGTTCAGATAGAGAACCAATCAACTAGAGAAGTCCATTTACAGAAGGCTGGATCAACCAATCAGATGTCTTGGTTTTGCTTCCTCTAGTGGCTTGGACCCAACTCCTCTACAGTCTGATTGGTTATCTCTCTGAACCAATCATATTTCGTTCTGCCCTCAGAACATTTTGTGTAAGTAAAACTCCCAATGAGCTTGGGGTTTAGAATGTGTGGAGTGTGCATTGCATTTAACTTTTAAAATGTTGTTCCAGGGCCAAAAGGGACCCCAAGGGGAAAGAGGCCCTCCAGGGCCACAGGTATGTTGTTGGCTTATGAGATCATCTCTCCAAGGTGGTGTTTCATCATTAACAGCCTCCTGTTGGATGTTTTTGCCTCTAGGGCCGACAGGGGGAGCCAGGCCTCCAAGGGCTGCATGGAGCACCGGTGAGTGTTTCTGCTATCATTTCCCCCCCAGGCCTCTCTCAGAGATGATTAGCCATTTCGAAGCCCGAGGATTCCATTTTCCAGAGCCAAGGCTAATCATTTATCACAGGCAGTTTTGTCTCAAACCCCTACAAAAAAAAGTTCCACTCAAATGGGTGAATGATTGCAGGTTGAGTGTTATGATCTCTGCTCCCTTGAGTATGATGTCCCAAATTCAGATGTTAATAGAAATTCACCTTTTGGTTTGAATGAAATCAAAAATTAGCGCCGTGAGTATGAGTTGGCCTACAAAGGTGTGAAGGGTTAGACCCATGACACATTTCTTTCAAGACTGATGGAAACTGCTCCTTGACGGCCCTCATATTCTCTGTCAGGGGCCTCCAGGTGTTCCAGGCCCAGAGGGTGGGCTTGGCAAACCTGGACCTCCAGGAAGCAAAGGGTCTCTGGGAGCACAAGGTCCAGATGGTCCATCTGGAATTCCAGTGAGTGGGTATTTTCTCCTTTTTTCTCTATCTTATTTCTTCTGTTATTTCTCACTGTAAAAAAAAGCAATGAGTGCATTTTATTGTTTTCCACAACATGAACCCTCAATGACTTTGAGAACTTTGAGATCTAATGACAGCCACTCTTCAGTAGAATCTTGGGTCCATGATCACAACATGCCCAGACTTGTTTCCATGGTATTTTAAGACCAGTAGGCCTGGGGTTCAGCATCAGAAACCTGACACCTCTGTAGCATTCATAACCTCACATTCATAATTCATTCATGCATTTATAATTCATAACTCCTACCAACAAAGATGAAACACCATGTTCTGTTTGGTTGACATGAGCTTACAGCACATCTCTGCCCGCTGGTGTTCAGAATTCAGATCAGGTCTTAAACAAAGACTGTCTTCCTCAGTGTAGGGAGATAGTTTAGCAGCTTAATGCAAGGCTTTCTGTAATGCAAGTGCCATGTTCCGGGTTTGGTACTGAACTTCTCTGAAGCTATGGCCTACTTCAATGAATGTGAGAACAGAGCTCTCCTGCACAAAGACCAGTCAATAACTGTCCTTCCTTCAAGACAAATGGCTGAAGTAGAACCTTCTAGAATAAATGCTAAACCTACAACGCAAGATATTAATAGGTGGAGCCTGATATATCTAACATCCATGGCTTTTATTGCCCTAGAATCTGCTATCTGGGATCTCACCGGCATCCCATCCGCGGTGCACCCCGGCCTCGTGCTACCTGGGATCTCACCGGCATCCCATCCGCGGTGCACCCCGGCCTCGTGCTACCTGGGATCTCACCGGCATCCCATCCGCGGTGCACCCCGGCCTCGTGCTACCTGGGATCTCACCGGCATCCCATCCGCGGTGCACCCCGGCCTCGTGCCCCGTGCTATCTGGGAGAGCTTACCGGCATCCCATCCGCGGTGCACCCCGGCCTCGTGCCCCGTGCTACCTGGGATCTCACTGGCATCCCATCCGCAGTGCACCCCGGCCTCGTGCCCTGTGCTATCTGGGAGAGCTTACCGGCATCCCCACAATCCTGAGCAGGAAAAGATGATGAAGTCTTGTGCCAAAATGCTACCCTTGCTGTACCTGTCTAACTATCCTATGAGTATTTAATAAGCTGCATGTGATTTTTAAGTGAGAGTGCGTATGTGCATCCAAGAGCCATCCAAGACTTGGGTAATCATTAACCACATACTGTAATACTCTATAATTGGTTAGTCCTGCTCAGCTGGTCATGTGATCAACGCCATAATGGGTCCAGTAAAAGGTCCTTTGGGTTTTCCTGTATTTCAGGGCAAGGAAGGGGAGCCTGGAACGTCAGGACCAGCTGGCAGTAAGGGACCAAAGGTAAAGTGGTGGACATCACGTGCCTGGAGACATGTCTACAGTTGGCTGTTACCTTGGAGCGGGAAAAGCAAATACTTGATAAAACATAATGTACGTGTCTGTGGTTGTTTTGCGTAGGGGGTGGAAGGACCTCCCGGTGACATGGGACCACCTGGACTGGAAGGTCAACAGGTTAGTGTTATTCACATTGTGTTGAGAAATGGACAACTGGGGCATTTAAACAGGGAATAATTGTACAGCGTTCTCTGTTCCAGTGCTTGTTTTCACACATTCCCATCGCCTACAAAGGTTTTATATTCTCCAGGTTATGATAACGGTCAAATCAAGCATACAGTCCATCCAGTCTTTATATGTGTGTGTGCGTGAGGTGCATGGAGTATGCTGGCATGTTGACTCCACAAATCAGATGGGAGGAGAAACACAACACTGAACCACCTGTGGGAACACTTTCTTTATGAAGATCTTAGCTAACATGGGCTTTTAGGAACTGTTTTGAGGTAATGTAATGGTTGACTGGAAGCAGAGGCTGAAACACTGTGTTTCGTATCCAGTAATGATGTGTAACTGAAATGTGTGATATGAAGCACTGCCAAAATGCCTCTCCAGGGAGATGCTGGTTGGAGTGGCGTAGAGGGGCTCGCGGGGATGAAAGGAGAGCGGGTGAGTGCTAGACATGAAATGTTGTCTGAATTGAAGGAATTTTTACTGGGATCTGCTCGTTTCTCTCTCAGTGTCATTATTTTGTTTGTTCTTGGTAACTTGGGATGGGTGAGTGAAAAGGTGTGCCCGCTCTTCAAGGAGGATCTGCATATTCCTGTTGACTAATTTTCTACTTTTTCGATACATGTAATGAGAAACCAAAATATTGAGGAAGAGGCCAGATAGATAGATAGATAGATAGATAGGTAGATAGATAGATAAGTTTGATTGATTGATTGATTGATTGATTGATTAAACTGTGTAAATCCATTATTTCTTCACATTTTCCTTCTAATTTATTCTTAATCTGTTTCTTTATCATTCTCATTTCCATATTACAGGGGGACCGGGGAAACTGTGGGAAGCTGGGGTCCAAGGGGCCCCCAGGGGAAATGGGGTCTCAAGGCCCCAAAGGGCCCCATGGGGGTCCGGGCCCCGGGGGTAGGGAGGTGAGTTCTCCAGGCCTACCTCCTACAGAAGAAGCTAGCTGTACTTTTTTCTGATACATTTCTGCAATAGCAGCGTAAAAAAAGAGCACATATAATCTTTTGTTTAATTGTTTTTACAGGGCGAAACTGGACCCCCAGGAGAAACTGGTGATCCTGGTCCACAGGGAGAGAAGGTCAGAACAAAAAACGCATTTTCCATCCATCCATTCATCCATCCATCCATGCATTGATTAATATCAGCTACAGAGTAGTGGTAACTAGCACATCAGAATAGTAATAAAACATTCATATAGTCACTAAGTTAAACATAGTCACTTCTAATTAAATGCTTCAGCTGTTTGCTGCCAACTTGTGCTTGTCAGAAAGCAGATCTTTCTACAGACATGGGTTCAAGCCCTCAGTGCTGTTAGACGGCTGCCTTGAGACCCAAGTGATCACTGACATTGAGGCGCAATGTTTCTGCATTGTGGTCTTGAGATTGACATTCATCTGTAGATTGAGGTTGCTGTATGATGCTCACAGTGAGAGTCACTTACTCCTGTGCTGGTCCCTGGCAGACGGATACAGCTAGTAAAAGGCATCGTTTGTCAGGATATGTCACTGTTGGTGGATTCCTTAGAATACAGGCACCACATCCACGCTTCCTCTAAAGACACCTTCCACTGCCATCAGAGTAAGCTGATCTCTCACCCACAGGGGGACGTAGGCCCTCGAGGTTTCTCTGGGATCGAGGGGTCCTCTGGGACCCTTGGGGCCAATGGAGAGCGAGGTCCAAAGGGGGAGAAGGGCCACGTAGGACTGCAGGTAGGATATCTGAATAATAAATGCAATCTCCAGGTTGTAATAAGAATCATATGTGCATCACATGCTGTCTTTCTGAAGTGGAGATGCCTTGGTGCACTAAGCATGATTACATGCTCTTTGTCTTCTTCAGGGTCGGGCAGGGCTGTTGGGAGGAACAGGGCCGTCTGGTCTGCCAGGCCCACCAGTGGGTGTCCTCTGTATTTTTTTGCATTGCAAGGTTAGCAGTTATTGAGATAGTTATAGGAGCTCAGAGGGATTTTTCCCATCATTCTATAGGGCCCTGGAGGCCCAGTCGGATCACCTGGGCCAGCAGGACTCATTGGGAAGAAGGTGAGTACAGGGACGCCCTGCTTCTACTACTCACCTACTACCCGGCTGAAATCAGGGGCTATTCCGCAAAGCAGGATTTCCCTGTTAGCTGGATAACTCAAGCCAAACGTGAAAACAGTCTAATAGGAGGATAGGTAAGTAACATTCCTATTGGACAGTCCTTACATTTGGCTGAAGTTATCTGGCTAATCCAAAAATCCTCCTTTGGGGAATACCCCCCAGGGCACCTGCCTGAAATGTTTTGTATCTCAGGGAGAAACTGGAACCACTGGCTCAGCTGCCCCCCCTGGAGCTCAGGGTCCTGAGGTACATATTCTGCATGATTCTTGGGAATATAGAATATAATTTCATAAGAGTATTTGCAGAAAAGCAACAGAACTGAGGTTATCTGCACCGTGGCCAGTGGACACCATGGCTGATTTCTCTATGAATAGAATAGGCTCAAATTTAATATATTGGTGAGTCACATGACAAATTACTCTAAGATATATACAGGCCTCTGAGGCCTTTTCCAGGATCTGTGTTATTGGTCCAGCTGGACCTTTTGTGAGATTTTTAATAATGGTTTTTAATGAGAGAAACCAGAGAAATGTGAATACCGAAATGAGTCTGAACAGGAAATCTCATCTTCATGGTGTCGTGATCTCATTTTTATCAAGGAGGAACAGAACAGCAAAGATCTCACATGGGATTCATTTTATTCCACAAGAATTTCTGAGCACATCATCAGTTTTACGCCAGATTTACATTTTCTGCCCTGACTGCACTGCCGTCTCCTTACAGTCTGTCCCTTTATGCAGGATTTAGGTCCCCTTTGCTTTCAGCGTAGTTGTCCTTGGACAAAATGTCACGTGATTTTAGGCCCCAGAGCTGGTTTTCATTTGTTGACGCGTTACCAGTTATTTGTTTGTTTGCTATTAGGGTGTGACTGGGGAAGCAGGTGTGAAAGGTGATGCTGGGAAAGTGGGACCGCAGGTCAGTGTGCCTCAATGTTCAAACCCAGCCTGTGTAACACACAGTACCTAGCACAGTACACAGCACAGTGCAATGCACAATACACAGCACAGTAATCAGCACAGTGCACAGCATAGTACAGGGCACAATACACAGAACAGTAATCAGCACAGTACACAGCACAGTATAGAGTACAGTAATCTGCACAGTGCATGGCATAGTCCGCGGCACAGTGCACAACACGATACATGGCACAGTGCACAGCACAGCTGCTGTTGTCAGGGAGGTGCTACCACAGCCTGAACATGGACATGGAAAAGACGCTCCTGCAGCTGACAACCACTTTGCACACTTCACACCATCCAAAGGGTGTAACCCTGGATTGAACGTTGGAGGGTTTGGTGTCACCACCCATTTTGGGATTATTTAAGGGGGTGGGGGTTTGATTACTGGGGAATTACATCCCCATCCCCATCCCCATAGTTTATCTCCATACCTCATCCCACACTTTTATTGCACATCTTGCAACTACTGATGTATTTTATACTTATTTATAATTATGTTGTAATACGATTTAAGTAGATGGAAGTAGATGCCAAAGCATTTCACTGCAGAGAAGTAGAGTGTATGACTGTGCATGTGACACAAAACTGCATGGGGCTGAGTCATGGCAGGACCACGAATGTCTGCATGCGCTTCTGATTTGGGTGTCTGATGGTGTTTCCTGCCGCAGGGCCCAACAGGGGCTGTCGGACCCAAAGGGGATACTGGCTCCCGGGGATTCCCTGGACCCGACGGGGATAAGGGGGACCCAGGGGACAAAGGGGATCCAGGGGAACAGGTGAGCTTACCCTCCGCCCTTCAGCTGGCCTCTGGAATGACCAAGGCTAGTTTTTAGATATGGGGGTTGATGATTTGCATCTGTTTTGTACAGGGACCTGAAGGCCTGACAGGAATCATGGGCCCCCCAGGACTCCTTGGATTAGAGGTAGATCAGTCTCTGCTTTAGAATTCCTTCCTGTTGGCCTTACATTTGCCGTTTGACTCCAGACATCTCAAAATTAGTGGTATTTTTAGGACTTCTGTAGAATACTGGACAGAGTTTGTTTAAACGTTTCAATGGGCAGAGACCGTGACTGTTGTTCTGTTCTGCTTTGGTAAACTGCAGGGGGTGCCAGGTGAGGAGGGAGTTCAGGGACCGGCAGGAGCAGCGGGGCGCCAGGTTTGTCCGCAGGAGTTTGCACAAAGTGTCTGGTTGCCTTGGAAACCACAAAGTCACAGTCCCTAATGGTAGCTTTGAGCAAAAGTAGCTGGTTCAGACTGTTCTTGGATTTAAAGCGAAAGCTGTATCAGATGTAGTCATTCTATTGATTGTCCCCTTTAAAGGCAGGAGCTGCCTTAGTAAATATTATGCAAACTAGTAATATAATTACACATAATTACAGTTCCGAAGTCAGAATTATTTAAGGTTTTTTGACAGTTATGCTTATTGTTTCCACCAAATAATGGCGGGTTGAAAAAATGCGCCCAGTGAGCAGAGCTGCGTGACACGGGGATTAGGCTCTGGACCGGTTTAGCTGGGAAAAGGACCTTTTCCAACACAAAAGATGGACTTGTTGAAAAAATGCTGCTACTTATTCACTAATTTTTACCATGTCATGGTGCGTTAAAGGGTCCTCATGAAGAGCCCTCTTGACAGTCTCAGTGCTGAAAAACAAACCAGAGGGCTATTTATAAAACACTCTGCGAACTTGGAACAGGTGGAACTCAGAGCCAGTGATGATTTGTGAAACCCATCTCCTGATTCCCCCCCCAGCCCCAGAGACCAATAGCAGCCCCCCACCAATAGTCACTAACAAAGCTGAACCAGCTGCAGGTGCCACAATGTTCACTTGCATTTGGAACATACAATCCAACCATACCAATAACTGTGTGAATCACATTCAAAATCTAACCTCCCTAACAATCCGCCTTGTGAGAGATACTGTAACATTCTCATGTCTCTCTTGTTATTTTCCAGGGTTCAACAGGAAGTCCAGGAGTTGATGGGAAACATGGACCAAAAGGAGAGAAGGTAGAGGACTCACAGCTTCCTTGTTGTGTCTTTTCTCATTGAGAAAATCAGATCTCCTGCTTTTATAAGCTGAATCCACATGGGCTGCCAGCCTTGAACTGAACATTTTACAGGGCTGGATGTTTATTTTCAGTCGTATAAAACACATAAAATCTCACGAACACACATATGTCAACCTACTGGCAGTGTTGCAGTTCCGTGTGCCTCTGTGAACTGATAGTTGACTCAGACAAGGACTCAGGGTGCAAACATGGCAACTTGGGGTCCAGGGTAGAGAGAGAAGATGAGCTGAAGGCCCCGTTCCATGTGTTGGGGTTTCAGGGGGATCCCGGCAGGGATGGAGATGCCGGAATACCTGGACACATCGGAAGGACGGTAGGGAGACTCGCCTTCTCTGCAGCATGAAGATCTGGCTCCTCTTCGTTTGTGGGTTGGTCAGTTTTGCTCCGTGCGCTGAATGCATCTCCTCAGCCTTAATCCAAACCCATGACTTACAGGGGAAACGGGGCAAAGCTGGAATTCGGGGCTCGAGAGGACCCAGGGGAGCAAAGGTCAGGGGTCTGCTGTACTATCCACACTGAGTGCTGTAATACATAAAATGTACATCATGTCAGACTCAACTACAGGCCATTGGGCTGAATACAGCAATTTCATGCCATACATATTTAACTGGAGTTAAAAACACGTTAAAGTATCATTAATGTACTATACACAGCTAGACCCATTTGAGACTGGTTTGGCCCACTGACCTGAAGAATACGCGCAGTACCCCACAGTACACACAGCGCACAATAGCGTGTGGAATGCAGAAATGGAACGCAGTGTCACACAAAACACAGCAGTACACAAAACACAGCACTGGGCACAAGCAGACACAGGCGTGCAGCAGCGCAGAGCAGACACAGCACCGCCGGTGAGAGCAGGAACAGCATGACGTCGTCCTTTTCTGCAGGGAAAGAGTGGATTCGTGGGACTGAGCGGCCCCCCCGGGAGGATGGGAGCCTCAGTAAGTTCCCCTCCCCTCCTATTCCATTTGTGAGCTCCCCTCCGTTTTACACCACTGCTTCACTACAAGTGAAGGGCACTCGTGAATGTGAAAGCGAGTGTGATCTCAGCTGGTATGCAGAGATCGTGCCTACAGTACCAGCTCTGAAGCACGATGTCTCTACACTCACCTACGATCTCTGTCAGTCTGTGTCTTTCTCTCTGCATGGAGCCACCATTACCAAAACTGCAGTCATATTGGACCCTATTGAATATTAATATGCACCATTATTACCATATTATCAATCACTTTTAAATACTAGTGATGTTATGAACAGAATATTATGTTACATATTACCATATTATGGACCATTTTTAACATATTATTGACCATTTTTACATGAAATTACATTTTACAGAAATTACAGACATTATGGAACTTTAATATTGCACATAACATTATTGAATATTACTACAGAATGTAATGGAAAATTAGAAAATGGTATAGACTAGCATTAGATTTACGTTTCCTGCCAAAATATAGGAAAATCAATGCAAAATATAATCTCTGTCCATTTACCACCCCCTCCCCCCCCCCACAAACTCCTCACAGGGAATCCCAGGCCTAAGAGGAGAGAAGGGAGACCTGGGTGTCAATGGAGAGGAGGTGACTACCAATGCATTGTCTGACACAGCTGGTGATCTGATTGGTCACGTGGAGTTTTGCGTCATCATTTCATTATGGTACTCAGCCTATGGGCAGTAATGTTCTCTGGTCCCTTTCAACAGGGGGAGAAAGGGGAGATGGGGCCACATGGCCCACCTGGGGGGGACGGGATAAAGGTACCACTCCAGCCTCTCATTTCATAATTTACAGTTGCAGCAAATTGAATTTGCAGTGCCAAGGACTTTGAACCTCACCTGCGTATACAGCTGTCTGATTTACTTGAGTGCTTTAGGTTAAGTACATTTCTAAAAGGATAACAACCGAATGAAGAACTTTTACGTCCAAGTATGTAATTGCGTGCTGCCGACTGTTCTAAATTGTTCACTTATGTGTATAAATAGTTCACTTGAGTGTCTCAATGCTCAAGTAGAATAGAAACAGACCATATTGCAGTTTTTCTGTGGCAATGGCTCGATTTTTAAAGAACACATTTTTGCACATCTGCTTTGCACATCCCTTCAATGGATGAGTCTTGAATTGATGTCTTTCCTAAGATATCTTAGCTCCCCCCAGGACCTCAAGAACCTGATCACTGGTCCAATGATCAGGATCTTGGTCTAGGTCTGGGTGCCACACACTGGTGGTTGATGTTGCTCCCCATTGCTTCTGTAAGAAGTGCTTTAGGTGTCTTGAAAAGCGCTATATAAATGTAACATTCATTCAAACTGTGCATGCTGGAGCACTGACTGTAGCTCTATACCTGGTGTTCAACTGCATCATTGCTGTGCATCAAGTAATTATCAAAAACCTGCATTTCAGGGTCAACGTGGTCTTCCAGGGGAGGTGGGAGAGGCTGGACCTAAGGGCGAGCAGGTAAAGGCAGTGAATTTGTCACTGTTTGATTCATGCAGCGTCTTAGAATATTTATATTAGTTACTGTGAATTAGTTCAATGGTCGACAGTCAGTCAATGGTGAGGTGAATGAGCTGGTTCATTAATTGTTAACGATTGGCTTTTTTCTGTCAGTGCAGTTCACTTCTCCATGATCAGCCACGGAAAGCTGGTTAAACGTACCAGGATATAAATAAATCTCTAACGCCCTTGTTAGTTTTAGCACTCAAAAACTCTTTCAGCGAAGCATACAGCTTGACAGTTGCCAGGCCATCTGTGTGAGACTTTTAGATTAGACAGTTTCCGGTGGTGCTTTGTAATGCCATGGAGACGAGCGATTACCAAGGCAGCACAGCCTTTGAGTAACTGCCGGGAAAGCGCCGCTCATTCTGCTGCCAGACCTCAGTCACAGCAATAAACCCCAGGTTCTCTTCCATCTAAATGGTAGGCTGACATGCCGGCCAGTCGCCATGTATTTACTTACCAGACGCTGTTATCCAGAGCAGTCGACTTTTTCACTTATCGACACATGCGCAGGTGGACGTTTTACGGAAGTCACTTTAAATGCCTCACATATGAGCACCACAACAGGTTCCCGAGTTATGAAAATACCACAGATTTGGTCTTTGACCATTATGCCACCTGCTGGATGAATGAATCTGTTTTCTTTAATGAATTACTGTAATTGCTTTCCCCTTTTAAGCAGTACTTCCGTTTTCTCCTAATACTGCTGTACAAAAGCAAAACACAGTAACTTGATCAAAACTGAGTTATGACACTGCGTCTCTTAGGTTCTGTTTTACCCCTGACGATATACAGTATATCTTACTTCAGCTATGCTCAGTTTTGAATAAGTACGCTGTCGCTTACCGACCTGCCATATATAGGGATCAACAGGCAGAAACTCTGAAGGCCCTTTTTTCAGTTTCATGGTCAGCATAGTTACTGTTATGCCTTTGGAGGGCTGTATACATAACAGACGTGTATCTTAGGCTGTCGTGCAGCTTTGACTGCTGGGAAAGCTATTAACATACATGGATGCCTCCGCAGCACAGCTGCAGGGCACAGGAGCCCCTGCTTTCTGGTTTTCACAACTCGGGCACAGCTTAATGCTCTCCACCCCAACCCACAAAACTGGGGGGCCCAGTACCACCATGCAGCATGATGGTGTACATGTATATTTATAGATACATTCACATTTCTTCACTGGTACATATACACATTCAGGGAATCACCTGACCATGCCCCCCTCCCATTTTTTTGCAGGGCAACATTGGGCCACCTGGGGCGAGAGGGAAGCCCGGGGTTCCCGGACTTCCGGTGAGTTCTTTTGCTGCCATTTTTGTCCCGGGCTGCATTTTCAGGGCCACTGTCTGCAAGTCCGGCCTTGCAGCAGGTGTCTGTGAGGAGAGGGAGTGTCAGGTGACCAAGGCTTCCATCTACCCATCCATACATCCATCTATCAGCCTTCCGTCCATCAATGGCTTCACCATTGATTCAGTTTGCTTGTCTCTCGTTCCTTGTATAGTTTTGTCTGGCAGTGTTCTGCTTTCTTATGCCCTAACCAAAAGCTTCCCTTTGTCCCCAACCCACAAGATACAGTTTGCATTTCATCAATCACTTAATCAGTTATTGTAACTGTAACACTTTGAGGGGGCACAAATAATGTAGTAATATACTATTACTTATGAGTTAATTAATCATGAACTAAGTCTTACTTACATACTGATCTCATGTTCGTCCATCATTAATGAATCATGATGCATCTTTTATCCTAAGCAGTTACTATATTTGTTCATGATTGATACTTCAGAGGTAGCTGAGTATTTATGCTCCCTGAAGTAATGTCTTACCAATTTAGCTTCAATTTACAGGGTCCCATCCCTGTAGGGTTGCTTTATATCCCTTCAGGCTGAAAAAGGTTCCACATGAATCTTTGGGTGCTTTTCCACCGCACAAAGTACCGTACTTTCAGTACGGTACTTTCGGTACTTTCGCTTTTCCATTTACTTCTGGTCGAGTACCAGTACCGAAAGTTCCAGTACCGAAAGTGCCAAACCAGCTGGGGTACTTCTTTGGTACTTCGGTACTTTGGGGTGGGACTTGCAAACATATTTGCTGTCGATTGGTTATGCACATAGCCTGCTGCTGAAAAACAAAATACAACCGCCATCTTTTGAAACACAGTGAACAGCAAGAAACGAAATAAAAAGCAGTAGAAACAAAAATATAAAAAAGTAAAATGGAAGGATGGACAAACAAGGAAACACAGGCTTTAATTGCCATATGGTCGGATGAACAGATCCAGCGGGATTTGGATGGCACAACTCAAAATAAAAAAGTATTTGCCGTAATAGCAAGCAGCTTGGAAGAAATGGGGCACACGCGAATCACTGAACAATGCCGCTTGAAAATCAAAAAACTTAAGCAGGACTACAGGAAAGTTAAGGATCATAATAACATGTTTGAATTCAGCGAAAGAAATACCGCACCGCGTTTTGTGATGATGTCAGTCAGGGGCGATTACTGATGATGTCATTTGGCGCTGGTACCAGTTTTTACGCCAGTGGAAAACCGACACAAAAGAAGTACCATACTTTTGATACTTTATGGGAGAACCGAGAGTACGGTACCTGGTGCGCCCTTTGATTCACTGCCAGATTATTGCTTTGTGTGAAGATGCCCTCATACTGTTAGTGATGGTGTTTTTTCTAGGGGGTCTGATACTCTCATAGTGTTAGTGATGATATTTCTAGGGGGTCTGATACTCTCATGGTGTTAGTGATGGTGTTTCTAGGGGGTCTGATACTCTCATGGTGTTAGTGATGGTGTTTCTAGGGGTTCTGGATTGTAATGGTTGAGAATGAGAAATTACTCAGACAAAACCACTGCAAAAAAAGAGGGGAAATTAAAAGATTAAAAGAGGAACAGAACAGCAAAGAGCATGAAATGGCAAAGCCAAAACAACATTGTTTAATTACTTTTTTTTTTTTGCTTCTCTGCAGGGTTTGTTCGGGGAAAAGGTAAGTTCACATCCAATGGCTGTTTAGGTTTATATGGAGCTTCCCCAATAATTTTTTCCCAAGGGCCAATTTCTGTCAGCAACACAAAGCCAAGGGCCAGTGCCTCCAATTAAAAATTTGAGTATCGTGGCCTCCATGGATCATTAAGACTTACATTCCATCAATATATTATCTATCTCCCCTTTTATATAAAAGGAGCAGTGAATGGAGATGAATAGCAGAGCTTTGTCACGTGCCTTACTGTGACTAATTGGGCTGGGTTATCGGGACCAGTGAGAGGAGGAAGTGAAGGAGCACAGCAGGAATCTGCTTCAAAACAGACTGTAGAGCTCCTGCTTCTGATGCTGGGTGCTTCATACCTGGGACCCAATTTTAAACTGCATTTGGGAGGCATTGAACCTTCCACTTCAGTCATGATTACGTGACCCAGTGTGAATTAAGTTTATTTTAATGTGGTGAGCTCCGGTCGATGTAGGATGAGTGAATTAATTCCAAACATCTTCTCTTAGGGGCTTAAGGGATTTGAAGGACCTCCGGGACCAGCTGGAGAGAAGGGATCTCATGTAAGTAAACAGCAAGAGCTTTTTTACTTTGAATCTCCGTGATCAATGTGCCAACAGCTGGCTGCCCCAGTGTATTGTGGGAGAAGGTCGGGTTCCCCGCTCAGCTTGGTGTTGTGGTGATATTAGTGAATTCTAATAGCGATGGGGGAAATGAGGGTTCAAAACCTTTGGTGGATGGAACCATACTGCCAATTACCAAGTCCCCTATTCCCTGTAGGTTACTGTACCAAACACCATGGTTCTGTCTTGCATCACTGTCACCTGAGGTGCTGCATGTGTGACATCAGAAAGACACATAATTTTCTGAGTCTCACCTTTCATGCTGTTCCTTTCCATTGGGTTCAGGGACCTCCAGGCCCCCCGGGCCCCCCTGGACCGTCTGTGAACCTCACTCTGATGCAAATTAAGGCGAGTATTTCTGGTTCCTTGGGGGGAGGGTGGTAACTCATCCGTCAAACTGACCAATGAGACTGAAGAAAAGTGACAGGATCACTGGAACTCCCACAGTGCAATGCAGTAAAATCATGCACTGATGGGGTAAACTCCAAAATGTGGAGGCATCATGGACTACTGCAGTGCATCATGGACTACTGCAGTGCTCACGTGAAACATGAAGTGTGTGAAGTGTTCATCCCACTAGGCATTTTCTCCAATCTAAAACAAAGGCTTTTGACCAAAACACAGGACTTACTAACTATTTCTATAAATATAAACACTTTGTAATGTCTTTGGGTTCTTCTACCCCCATACAGAACTTCATGCATGTGGCAGATAAGCCCAACTACCCCCTGCTGCAGAGCCTGCTGGAGTCTCTGCGCCGTGACCTGCGGCAACTGCTGGACCCTCCTGACGGAACCAAAGAGCACCCAGCCACCACCTGCCTGGAGCTGTGGCTCAGCCACCCCGATTTCACCAACGGTCAGGACCGCCACTGCCCCCCATTGCCACTTCAGCATTTACACAGCCTGTAGCATAGAGGAGGCAAAGAGCATGGTAGCGCCTTTAGCATTTATACAGCCTGTAGCATACAGGAGGCAAGGAGCATGGTAGCACCTTTAGCATTTATAAAGCCTGTAGCATACAGGAGGCAAGGAGCATGGTAGCACCTTTAGCATTTATACAGCCTGTAGCATACAGGAGGTAAGGAGCATGGTTCTACCCATCATGACTTAGCTAGCAGAAGCTTGAGTCTTTTGGAGGGCCCTTCCTTTGTATAACTGTGTCCCTGAATATTTAGATGTTTACCTGGGTAAACTGAGATGTACACATGTGGTTGCTAAATGGAGCGATCAGTCTAGCAGGCTATTCTGCAGTGTGGTTACTGTGCACAGGGCTGGGAGCTGCTAACAGGCAGCGGCCAGCTGATGGTCAGACGTTTCTACTGCTACAGGGCTGTACTACATCGACCCCAACCAGGGCAGCCCTGCGGACGCCATGCTGGTGTACTGCAAGTTCACTGCAGAGCGGAGCCAGACGTGCCTGTCTCCAAGAGAATCGCAGGTAACTTCGAGTCTGACCTCTCTTTTCTCTCTTGTATCTGTTTCAAGTGGGGGGGGGGGGGACAAAAAATGGCTGCTGGCTAGCAACACCCGAATTAAGAAGTTGAGGATAGGTTAATGTATTTTATATACTGTAGTGTCAGCAGCCATCCCCCCTCCCAATATAGGTGCACCCCCCCCCTCCCAATTGACCACCTGTGACTCCCCCCCCCCACCCAAAAAAAAATAATCTTCCAAAGACACTAAGAATACTAAAAGCACAAGTGGTGTGCTGCCACTTGTTAACTTTTGTTCTGGTGCCGACTGGGTTTATATGAGCAGGAACTCCCTCAGGCGACATTCTGTTGTGACAGCATCACCAGCTTTAATGGGAATCCCCCCCTGCTCTTCCTGCAGGTCCCCATGAAACCATGGCTCAGTGACTCTGGGACGGCGGATTCTTTTCTCTGGCTCAGTACGCAGGAGGGTGGCTTTCAGGTGCCCATCAAAGCTCACACCTTCCGCCCCGCACCATTCGTCAAACTCTTACAGAATTTACTTACAACGAAACCGCTTATTTCTGTATCCGCCTCTCTCCCCACGTACCAGTTTGAGTACCCAGGTGCCAATGTCGTCCAATTGAGGTTCCTGCGGCTGAATAGCCATTCAGCCACCCAGAGGATTACCTTCTCCTGCCCTCTGGGGGGCAGGCTGGGTCATCGGGAACGAGAGATCAAATTCCTGGCTGATACACAGAGACAGAGTTTTGTGGGGGTACTCAGAGACTGTGAGGTACGTTCCCTGTGGGTTAAGGTACTGTTGGCTACCCATTCATTAGAACAGGGGTCTCCAGCTCCAGTCCTGTAGAGCCCCAGCGCTGCACAGCTTAATTCTCTCCCTGTTCCACCACTGAAGAAATGGGTGGTTAGCAAAGTGTGTTAAATGAGAGGAACTCGCAGGGCTGAGGTTCTCCAGGACCTCTGCATTAGAATTAAAGGGGAACAGAGTGAGCATGTCAGACACAGCAGATATCATAGAGTGTAAAGTACTGCTGGATGTTCAGGTCCAAGGAATGGAGCAGATGTTTTAAGTTTGAGCAGAGTATTTCAGCTGGATTGCTGCAGATTGAATATAGACTAATGTAATCAATGCAGTTAGCCAAGTGTGGTAGGTGTGGACATCAGGCATGCCCACTAAGCAAAGCTGACTGGATGTTTCTTGAAGCCTGGAGAGGATCAGGGTTCGAGTCCCCGGGAGTCAGCGTTTCAGTTTGAGGATCTGGACCTGCTCCCGATCAGAGACCTGGCGGTGTCCATCGGCGACAGCAGCCCCGCGCTGGAATTCGGCTTCACCGTGGAACCCGTGTGCTTCAGCTAGGTCCCCCCCCCCCCCCCTACCGAAGCCCCAGCCAGCACAGAGAGCCTCATCGGGACCCAGCCTGGAGCCACGCCGACTGGAGATAACGAGGGACAAAGGGCATTGTGCTGTCTTTATTCCTGTTTTTTCTGGAGACACTTACCAGCACCACTGGGGGAAAATAAAATCTCCTGACTTCTGTAGCATGACGCTAGAGAGTCGCCTTTTCCCCCCTTATTTATGTAACCCAAAGAAGTCTGCAATACCTCCAGACTCAACTTCACTAGAAGGACTGGTGTTCTGAAAATGTTTGTTTACAGAGACATTTATATTAAAATGTGCTAATTTATATGCTGTTCCGTTTTGGTTTAGTAGCAGCAGTGTACGCGCTGTAAACATTGGAGGAAAACTGCACTCACGCTGGTCTAACAAAGTGTTCCTGCCATGGGACACGGCTAAGGAGTTAGCTAAGGAGTTAGGAGTTGTCACACGTATTCACAGCAGGGTTTTTCAGGCATTGGTCAGTTGTTTTATTCCCTTATGGGTTATACAAGAGCATTATGGGGGCTCAGGTTAAGGGGACCGGGGGGGGGTGATGATAGTTGAACACAAACATTTCAACCTCATAATCCCAACTCCAGTAGACCAGTAGTGAACATGATCTGAAATTTACATATTTATACATATAAACAGAGATGGAAAGTTCAGGTCCAGAAAGTAAAAGAAAGATTTTGTTTCGACCAACCAGTTGAGTACTCTGTGACTGGACCGGACCGGAACTTTCCACCTTTGCATATACAAGTAACTATATAAATAGTTGAAGGTGAAGTTTAAGTCTCAGGTTCAACAGAATATTGAATAGGTTTGGCATTCAGAGCGCTGATTTCACCGCTCACCGGCTGGATTCAGACTCAGCCGCCTACCAAAACCTGATGGTATAATGCAGTGTAATTGTCTCCGTCTGCATTTCGTTTCTCCCCTGCGCTTCCCAGACTCGCCGCGACAGCGCACGTTGCGTTTCAGGCAGAGCAAGTCGTTTTATTACGCTTAGCTCTGCAGGTGCAAATCTGCGGGGCTTCCAGCGATTTAAACAACTAACACACTACGTAAACCCAAATGAGAAATGTCACCTCCATTATGTTTTGTCAGTAACCAGATAAAAATATCATAAATAATTTTAATATGTCAATGTTCTTTACTTCTTTGTCTAATATGTACAAGCTGAGCTGCCTGTAAATTGTTTCAATGTCAATATCAACTCCACGCAAGCAGGGAACATTTCAATATGGTTGCCTTAGCTGGCTGAGACAAATTTTTGGTGCTAAATACAGCGTTAAGGTTTTTTTGTGCCTTTTTAATACTTAGCATCATTGTGGTTGTAATGTCTATATGCTGGTCATTTGATTTGAACTTGCTAGCATTACATTCTAATGCTCTTGTCTCGTGTAACAGTTTTAATAAACAGTTTCGTTGCACTTTCAGGTGGTTTGTATCACTTTACAGGTCAGTGCGTCATGGTTCCTACAGTAATTTTCACCACTTAGGCATACAGGATGGGGCAGAAATCTCAGTATGTGCCGTTTCCTGTCTCCGTTTAAGATGGAAACTCCAGTGTCACTAACGGCACATTGACAGGACAGCTTTGCAGCTTAGAATGACCAGGAAGAATATGATCCGTAGATCTATATTACTGATTTTGTTTGATGATTTAAAAATGATCAATGACACATAGCCTAATATACGCGAATTTCTTTTTTTTTTTTTTGGATAGTTCATTCACACTCAAAATGAATATACTCAAGTAAGACAATCTGTTTTAGGTTTCTCACACTAGAAAACTGCATGTATCAAACAAATATCTTTGATGAGGGATTAAAATTGCTTTTAAACGAATAGTCTATTATAGTTTTATATCCACCTGATGTTATCGTGTTCCCTGAGATTTTTTTAAATTTGTAATTCATATGTATGCTACTATTCCATATTTAACCTTTTTTGCATGTTAGTACTTTGTACTCAGTCCTGACAATGATGATGAATGCAATCAGAGCGGCACGGCGGGGGTTAACGAGCGGCGGCCGAAGCATCGGCGGAGGTAGCCGAGCCCGGTTCGGCACTCGGACGGTGGCGTCAGCGCCGCCGCAGGAAGCCGCGCTGTCACGGTACCTCCGAAGCCCCTCCGACAAGCGGCGGCTACGGTGGGGAGGTGATCGGCTTCTGGGGGCGGAGCAGGGATGGGGACTCCGGTGCGGTTTCGGCGCGGTTGACGGGAGGATAGCTTTTGCTGCGGGGAAAGGGGAAGGAAGGACCGGAAAGGCGAGTGCAAAACAAATCAACCGGAGGGGAAGAATGCCTCCTTCTTGTATTGAATGGACTGGTTATAAAATAATTATTAATCGTTTGTTTTTGCTGGAAGGCCCTATGCATCGCTCCACTGTATCCCTTAAAACCGCACTGATGTACTGGAGACTTTCAGTGGGATAAGGGTGAGTGCATACAGCGAGCCGATCACTTCATTAATTCCGTTGTCTAAAAGGCTATTCATTTGTTTTGGAGAAAATACATATATTATGTAAATCATTTTTCTTGATCCCGAAACTAGCTAGCTGACTTACTGGGAGCTGAATAAATTATGGTTGTGCCCGCCCCCAGGCAGGTTGTTGGTTGGTTGCGTGTTAGAAAGGTAATAATATAATCAGCCTTTTAATTACGTCTTCTAAGTACTATGGCCTCCGGTCTTGGGTGGTTTTATTTTAACAGGTGCATCAATGACAGCAAATTGCACACAAGTCCCTCTGTGCAACTTAATCGGTTTAATTTTTATACTGTTGTTTTTATATACTTATATTAGTGCTGCTGCCGTCGTATTTTGCTGAAGTTTATCCAATAAGGTCTGCGTGGTGGACCTGATGTTTCTAAAATTATTAAACAAACCACATACAACCTACTGTGATATAATAAAGTCAAGATGGATTGATTAGACTAACGATTTGGTGAACATGTTAAATGCACATGAAAAATCTTAAAAGAGGCAGATTTACTTGTGTTTTACAAGCACACGAATCTAAATCTGGAGTTTCAGCCCTGAAGTACTTGCTAATAAGATGACCAAATTCTGTCCTAAATCTGTCCACTGTTTTGCTCTTACACATCTTACATTAGAAAATGAGTAGAAGTTGGTGACCAAACTTTGCCTTATCAGACCTGAATTTGGTTGGATGCAGAATCCAGTTTTGTCCCATTGCTATTTGGTTTTAAAAAATCACATAAGTATTCTGAGCAAAGTGTTTTAGTTGATCTTATAACATTAACAGAGTGGGCAGAAGAGTTTTGAGCAATTTATTTTTCCTTGTCCTGCTGAGTCTGGATTGGATTCAGGTTCTAGCCCAGACCTGGAGTCCAGGATGTTGAGCTGTTTTGTTGCTTGTTATATGCATTTTTCCTGTGTTCCTTGGGTCATCGCCCATCCCGAAGATGGATCTTCTCTCACATTCCAAGACCCTTGAACACTGCCTTAGGTTTTGCTCCTAGGCATTTTTTCACCTTCCATTTATCTGTCGTTTTCACAAGCTTCCCCAGTCCCCGAAGGTAAGGAATCATCCTCTCTATCCCAGAACCAGACCCCTGCCAAATTCTGGCCACTTGGGTTTCCCGGGTAACCCTGACAATTTTCATTGTTCCAGTCTAAACAAATGACCTTCAGCTAAATATGCTTGGGTCCAAGCTGACTAGATTTCTGATTGCTGTATTCACTCAGCTGGCACAGAGTTTAGCAACAGACTTGCCAGGATGTAGCTGGAATATTCATGTTGAAAAGAAAATGAACCATTATCATCAGAGACTGACGATTGTTGTGCTGGTACAGATCTTTGGTTCACACAATATTGTGTCATTCTGACAATTATGTTTCTTTTGCAAGCAATTTGAGTATCATTTGAGGAGGCTTCACATGATGAATTGTCAGCAAAAGACCTTTGTTAGCTAATACACACATGTTTGGACAGTGAAACTTTTTTTGTTTTTATTATAGCTAGGAGTTTATTTTGTGACCTTTGGATAAATAGCAACAGTAGCAATTTTCCCGGTAACAATCATGTTTATAAACTTTAAAAATGATCCCTTAAAGCAAATTACGCCAAACACATGCACTTTGAAACTCATGGGAGGTCTGCCAGTCTACTTTTTATTCCATTTTAGGTCTTTGTTGCTCGGTTAAAAGAGCTGTGCCTTTGATTAAGTGGCATTTCTATATTTTTTGTGAGTGGATGATAATGACTGAACAGCCAGATAAATTGCGAAACTCTACTGCTGGTCGTTAATCCTCAGTATAGGTCACTGGCTGAGCTTTAATGCCACATTATGCTTGTAACCAGGATACTGTAAATTCCTGTGTCACCCTGGAAACCGACACAACCCCCCCCCCCCAAGCAACACCACTTCTGCCCCCATTCTCTTGTGATTTTGGGAGTTTTATCTACTCATAGAAACGGAAATTCTCAAGGAGCAAGCTGAGGGGAACTACTCTGTAACTCTCTCTTTCCTCTTTCTTTAGGTTTCCATTGCAACTGCAGTGATCCGTTCCATCATTCAGCTTCTGTTAGGAGACATGTACCCTCTCTCTAGTAAAGACTTTGTGTCCCTGACCGTCACTGAGGGGGGTGACGGCAGATACAACAACGGCAAGCAGCGGCGTCGCCAGTCCTGGTGGAGGGTGAGTCAACTGGGGATCTTCAGTACTGTCATACTCACACTATACTCCATCTAATATTGTCACAAGTACACTGTACTCCATCTAGTGCTGTCATACTCACACTATACTCCATCTAATATTGTCACAGTCATACTGTATTCCATCTAGTGCTGTCATACTCACACTGTATTTCATTGTGTACTGTCACCCTTACACTCTACTCCATCCAATACTGTTACACTCACACTGTACTCCATTCAGTACTGTCATACTGACACTATAATCCATCTAATATTGTCACAGTCGCACTGTACCCAATATAATGCTATCAAACTCACGCTACAGTCCATTGTGTACTGCCACCCTTACACAGGACTCCATCCAGTACTGCCACCCTTACGCTGTACTCCATCCAGTACTGCCACAATCACACTGTACTGCATTCAGTACTGTCACACTCACACTGTACTCCATCCAGTACTGACATACAACCCTGTTATTTAACAGTGCAGTGGTTAATAGGTGTACTGCCGGAACTTTTGTCTGGAAGCAGAACCTATTTCCGGAACCAGGGACTTTTGTTGCGTTCACACTGCAGGAACTTGACCCAAGTGCAGTTCCTCAGAGGCAGTTCCAGAACCATTTTTAGTACCTACTCTGGACTAGGTACTTTTCATTCAAACACAAACTACTGGGATGGGGCTTATAGCGATAAACTTGCTGATTGGTTGACCGAGAGCACTGGTGCTAACTTAGAAGTTACATGTAAGTGTTACATTTAATGCATCAATTAATACATTGCGACTCCATATTTCTACTAGCGTTTATTGGCTGGGTAACATTACATAAATTTTTTATTTTGTGGAAAATGAAAGATTGATCTGCTGGCCAGATTTAATAAGAATCAGATTTAATAAGAAGAAAGTGACACATGAAAGCAGCGATGAGCTACCATTCTAGAGACTTGTAAACCAGAACCAGATTCTGGAACTTTGATATGTACAGTAATTGTGTGATGGCTGGAGTTTCCCTGTCCTGACGCTCGTCCGTCACACCCACCTGACCCATCTTCCCTTTGCCTCCCACACAATTCCTCCATTTCACACAAACCCCGTGACATGGCCACCGCGGAGGGGGTCAGTGGCGGCCCACCACAGCGCAGGAGGTAACCCCGTTTCTGTGCCGATCTTCAGAGGTGGAAGCAGCTGTCCCGCCTGCAGCGCAGCCTGATCCTCCTCCTGCTGAGCGCGCTGGTGGTCTGCGGGACCGTGATGTACCCCAGCCTGCTGCCGTTCCCGACAGGTAGGTCCGCCTCCTGGCACCGTCTCATCAGCTTGTCAAAAATCCACTTCCTGTGTGCAATAAATGTGCTCGACTACCAGCAGAAGTGAAATTTCTTATATAAAGGTGGCTCGTCCGCAGCAGGAAAATAAATGTGAAATAAAAGGGAAAGAAGAACGTAAACCTAGAATATTTAGCAGTTAAAGTTCCCCTCTGCTCCCCATCCTTGTATTTATGTTGTGCCTTTGATCAGTACTTCACTCGTTTGTCTTCATATAAATCACCTGCTCAGCGCACTCTGGGGTGGATATTTAGGTGGGAAGATTAAACAAAACCTCTCATGTGTCATCGGCTTGCGTTCTGCTGAAGGCAGCATCCCCAGCAGATTGAACGTCAAGGTATTTCCACCATAGTTTTTAATAGACCAGCTGAACTTTCCTGTCCTGCTTGTCCGACCATGCCATGACCATTAGCTTTGTTGTGCCCCTTGCATTTTCATTGACGTAAGATTGCTAACTACAAGGCAGCAAATATGCTTTGGGCTTTAAATGCAGGATTTACTCTAAAGTTTTGACAAAAGACTTTTCCAGACTGTCACCCTGTCTCAGCGGTATACGACGGCTCGTCTGGGCTCGAACATTTATGAATATTCATGAAGGACACAACCACTTTTTTATGGTCTTGGAAACAAAGCTGCTTTTAAATATTTACAGTATTGACAGGTTTGAATTTAAGAAAGGGAAACGAAAACAGTTGGACCAGCACTTGGAGATGTTTTCAGGATTCTTGACAAAGAGCTTTTTGGGGGTTTGTGTGTCTTATATAACACAGCAGCCAGCTTCCACAGTATCTTCTCCCAGCGTCAAAGGCCACATTCGTGAGCGTGTCGACCCATGTTCGCACCCTCCCATTCCCGTCCAGATGTTTCTCTGCTAGCGGGAGAGGACAACTTGGAAAGAATGGACACCGGAACCCTGAAGCCTGCCCTTCCAGGGGTCATTCCCGATGTGGTCCCCAGAGTGTTCCCAGCTCCGGAGAAACTCGAGCTGCCGACTGAGGTTCGTTACACCCCCCCCCCCAACCACCACCTAGCCATCTCTACATGTAGCATCGGAGCCCGAAAAGCACATGTTAGAAGACATAGCATTATCCATTACCATTGCTGTAAATCACATCTGACGGAAAGCGATTGGGACTCTAATTATGAGTCGTTAGGCTGAAGGGCATCGCCAAGAACTCAGCAAGGTCGAGCGTGAATGGGACTTAACGTTGCAGCTGATTGGTCACAGGCGTTTAATCCCGAGGCCCCTGCTCTTCAAAAGAATATTTTCCTCTCCATAGATTAGCGTCGTTACATTATGGCTCCCCCTATAGATTTTGGATGACTTTTTGTATTCAAGGCGGCAACCAGTGAATTGTTTATAGAAGTTCTACTTGGGGTTCTGGAATTTCTGGCAACTGTTTTTGATTGCAAGTTTTCATTTGCTAAAGTTTCAGAATTAAACCCTCCCCCCCCCCCATTCAACCTGTACATATCCCATAGCAGAACAGGCCGACACCCAACAAGCACAGACCCGTGGTCCTACACAAGCCTCAGAGGAGTAGGGGGAACGTTTCTGATGGACCGACAAAAGAGAGCCAAGGACCATCAGAAGAGAGGGGTGCAGAGGCGGCGGCCGGGGAGAAGCCGCTTGTCAGGTGAGCCTCTGATAAGCGCTAATTTTTAAATTAAGTTTATTAATGATTGTGCGCTGGGGCTTCTTAGCCTGTGAGTCGATGGTGGCTTTTTACTCTTTATATCTTCCTGTGTGTGCTGCTCTGTTTTAAGCCACTGAGCCCTATTGTGACACACAGACAGCCCATGATGCCGGTATGATTAAGGAAATGGGTTCTGGCAAATTGGTTTCGACCCAGTGCCTCCCAATCACCCAGGGATGCAAATTGATTCTAAGGAACCACTGACTTTGTGAAGTGAAATAATGGAGAGACTCTTTAATGGAGCTGAAAGTCACCCAGAGCTGTACATTTTGCGCGGTGGCTCTGCTCTCCAAAAACACTACACCTTAGGCCTCCTGCCGATTTTTCATTTTCTTTATTCCTTCCATCTATCTTCTCTCTGCTTTACCTAGATCAGGATGGCCTGGCGCCTATCCCAGCACAGGGCGCGAAAGCTGGGGTACTTCCTGGATAGGATTCCAGTCCATTGCAGGGCACCTACACATGTGCACAGTCAAGCACTGTGGGCAATTTAGAGGCCTCGATTTTCTTCCTGCGTGTTTTTGGGCTGGGGGAGGAAGGGCAGAACCCAGATGACACCTGGCACCACCAACAGAACATGCAAACTCTACACACACACTGCAGGAGTGAGATTCGAACCCTCGGCAGTGTAGGTATGAGAGCAGCCTGTGGGCAGCACCCTGTGGGCAGCACCCTGTCCTCATGCCCCAAGGCCGCGGCGCATCACCGTGTGTGTGGAGTTTGCATGTTTTCCTCTTACACGCGCAGGTTTCCTGCAAGTCCTCCAGTCCTCCCACAGTCTGAAAACATGGTGCTCAGGTGATTGTCTCTGAAATGCCCACAGTGTCTGAGTGTGGGTAGGCTTCAGGCAGACATGTGCTGGAGAAGTGGAAGAGGGGCAGCTGGGTGGAAAAATTGAAAAAATGTGCTCATATTACGATAAAGGAGTTTCTTTTAAAGTCTTTCCTTTTATTTGCTAATTCGCCTTTAAATGTAGGTGCCTTGATGTGTAGGTCTGTAACTAATGTCAGTTTATCTACCTGTCTGTTCGCCTGTCTGTCCGTGCAGCTGGCGAGGGGCCATAATCGAGGCGGAGCAGGTCACGGAGGCCCAGCAGGTGGAAGCCCAGCCCTCCACCAGACAGAGGGAGGCCCCCCCAGCAGGGCCAGGACAAGCAGTGTCACAGGTGCCAGGTATGGGTAACGTGCACCGCTAGGCAAGGGTCCTCTCAGAACTGTGTGATGCCCCCTGGTGGGCGGATCATGAAACGGTTCTCTTGAGGAAGGGACCAGGTGCCCCAGCTGCATGGCAAGCATTATTTCAAGCATGGCAGTGAATGATGCACTGTGCCAGTTATACCCCCCTCCACCCCCACCAGTTTGTCATTTGAGTGGTAGATTGCTAAATTATGCTAAATATCAGGTGGGGGGTGGGTGATAAAATCACAAAGGATGGTAGATTGAGCGTGTGTGTGTGTGTGTGTGTGTGTGTGTATGTGCATGTGTGTGCATCTATATCCAGCCACAGGACTGACGGAACCCATGGACCGGGCGGAGGCGGTGCGTGAGGCCTTCAGGCACGCGTGGAAGGGCTACCGAGATTTTGCCTGGGGGCATGACGAGCTGAAGCCCGTATCTAAGTCCTATGGGGAGTGGTTCGGCCTGGGCCTGACCCTGGTGGACGCGCTGGACACCATGTGGATCCTGGGCCTGAAAGAAGGTAACTGTGCCACCTGGGGACGGGTCACAGTCTGACCAGCCCCTTCGCTCATATGGTCCTAAGGACCAATAGTATAAAAGGAAACTTCTGGCTTGTATCACAGCCCTCAGAGCGCCTGCCACACCACAAATAACCCCTCCATTCCCTCCCCTCATCCTATGGGACTGTCTCCAGGCCTTCATGCTCCTAAGACTTATAGTCTTCTACAGTATGTCTAATTTTGATAATGTGCTTACTGGGTGTCATTGAGGAAGATGGCTTGCATATTGTACTTTACCACTGTGCAAAATTTACCACGCGGGATTTTTTTCACTTGGCCTTAAGATGCTCCACTCAAGTAGCTCAGTTTTTGCTCCCTAAACCAATTTTCCTCCGCACGCGGCAGAGTTTGAGGAGGCAAAGAAGTGGGTGGCCACCAAGCTGAATTTCTCCAAGAACGTGGACGTGAACCTCTTCGAGACCACCATCCGCGTCCTGGGGGGTCTGCTCAGCACGTACCACCTGACCGGGGACAGGCTGTTCTTCGATAAGGCTGTGAGTCAGGTGGACGGAAGCTAGAGCCAGAATCATCACCGTTACTTTTATCACTGGTCTTCAGTTACTGCAGCTCCTTAGATCAGCGTTTCCCAATCCGGTCCTCGGAGACCTGCAGACAGTCCACATTTTTGCTCCCACCCAGCTCCAAATAGCAAAAATGTGAACAGTCTGGCAGGGAGTTGGGGGGGAGGAAAAATGTGGAATGTCTGGCAGGGAGCTGGGGGGGATCAAAAATTTGGACTGTCTGGCAGGGAGCTGGGAGGGAGCAAAAATGTGGACTGTCTGGCAGGGAGCTGGGGGGGGATCAAACATTTGGACTGTCTGGCAGGGAGTTGGGAGGGAGAAAAAATGTGGAATGTCTGGCCGGGAGCTGGGGGGGGGAGCAGAAATGTGGACTGTCTGGCAGGGAGCTGAGGGGGGATCAAAAATTTGGACTGTCTGGCAGGGAGTTGGGAGGGAGCAAAAATGTGNGGACTGTCTGGCAGGGAGCTAGGAGGGAGCAGAAATGTGGACTGTCTGGCAGGGAGCTAGGAGGGAGCAGAAATGTGGACTATCTGGCAGGGAGCTGGGGGGGGGATCAAAAATTTGGACTGTCTGGCAGGGAGTTGGGAGGGAACAAAAATGTGGAATGTCTGGCAGGGAGCTGGGGGGGAGCAAAAATGTGGACTGTCTGGCAGGGAGCTGGGAGGTAGCAGAAATGTGGACTGTCTGGCAGGGAGCTGGGGGGGGATCAAAAATTTGGACTGTCTGGCAGGGAGTTGGGAGGGAGCAAAAATGTGGAATGTCTGGCAGGGAGCTGGGGGGGAGCAAAAATGTGGACTGTCTGGCAGGGAGCTAGGAGGGAGCAGAAATGTGGACTGTCTGGCAGGGAGCTAGGGGGGAGCAGAAATGTGGACTATCTGGCAGGGAGCTGGGGGGGGATCAAAAATTTGGACTGTCTGGCAGGGAGTTGGGAGGGAGCAAAAATGTGAACAGTCTGGCAGGGAGCTGGGGGGGAGCAAAAATGTGAACTGTCTGGCAGGGAGCTGGGAGGTAGCAAAAATGTGGACTGTGTCAGGGAGCTGGGAGGGAGCAGAAATGTGGACCACCTGTGGGTCCCCAAGGACCAGGTTGGGAAAGGCTGCCTTAGTCATTTCAGCAATAACAATCTATCTTAGCATTCACTCTTAGAGGCACTCATAGGTATTTACCAATTGAATCACTAGCTTGGCCATCAACTCCACCTCAACGCTCCGCTTATGGATACCCATACTTCCCTACAGAAAGAGATTGGGACCCGACTGATGCCCGCCTTCAAAACACCTTCCAAGATCCCGTACTCCGATGTGAACATCGGCCAGGGCAAAGCCCGACCCCCCCGCTGGACCTCGGACAGCACCGTGGCGGAGGTCACCAGCATCCAGCTGGAGTTTCGGGAGCTGAGCAGGCTCACCCAGGACCCTCAGTTCCAGGCAGGTCCAGGGGGCCGCATTTCTGGGAGAGAAGGACTGACCCATGGATCACCATCAATATCCCAAACCTCAGTCCTCTCTGTCTTCTGTAGCATGAATGGCTAGAATGCATCATTTGGCCCATGAGACAGTGCCTAAGCTTGATGAGAAGCTCGGTCTGGACAAATTTGAGGGTCATCTGAGGTCACCAGCAGCAACAGGAGGCTGTCTGAGAGTTTCAGGACCTAAGAGCACAGTAGCTGCCTGAGTCTTAAAGACTGACTAAAAATCAAATGTGAAGTATGGTCCCTAATACAGGTTTGGCTGTGTCAGTGAGGATAGTGTTAGGAATCTTTGCTTCTGAGTCTTGATCACTTGCCTACTCGACCCCTTCCGCCCCCAGAATGCAGTGGATGAGGTGATGAAGATCGTCCACCGTCTGGACGGGAAGCACGACGGCCTGGTGCCCAAGTTCATCAACACGAACAGCGGGCAGTTCACGCACCGGGGCGTATTCACACTGGGCGCGCGAGCTGACAGCTACTACGAGTACCTGCTCAAACAGTGGATCCAGAGTGGCAAGAAGGAGAAGGAGTTAGTACCATGGACCCCCTCAGACATCATAATTTCATGGGGGGGTTACTGTTTTTGCTATATATAAAAATGATAAAAACAGAATCTGAATGAATAGATACCTCTGTTAAACTCGGAGTCACACCATCGGTCTTGAAGGCATAGAACATAAGATGTCTGTTCCTTTTAGTGCTTATGGTTGTATCTACAGTACATGGCTATAATTGATTTTTTTAAGGCTCTGTCCACAAGGTGGCGCCTTTTTTGACTAATTCTGCTACATACTATGAAAATGAGGGCCGTGGCTGTAGAAGCTGGTTCCATTTGGCTGACCAACATTTCCATGTGCGCCCTCAGGCTGGTGGAGGACTACCTGCAGGCTGTGGAAGGCGTGAAGAAAAACCTGCTCCGGATGACCTCCCCACGTAGACTTACCTTTGTGGGGGAGCTCTCCCATGGCCGCTTCAGTGCCAAAATGGTGAGCCTCCCTGCATGCCCCCACCCCCAAATTATTCACACTTTCACTAGACTCCCAAAGCAATAAACACAATCAAACCTTTTGCCATCAGAGGCTGACCATTCTCACATTGAAAATGCTTAGTTTAGGACCACAGAAGAGAACATTGCCCCTAAATAGCATGCTTACCATATACTGTAGCTTCTCTATCCAAGCGCTGAACGTTCACATGAGGGTTTCCTGCCAGTGATCTGTATTCTTCCCACAATCCAATTCTGTCATTCGTTCTTGAGATGAATTGTTGAGTTGAACTTGCATTGTCTACAGTGACCTATTGTTCTGGGTTATCTCCTGGCTTCCTGGGATTGGCCCTGGGAGTGTGTGACCAGAAGCGTCTCTGGTAGATGGATGAGTGGACGGTATGAATGTCTGCCGTGTGAGGAACTTGTTTCTGGTCCCTTGGTGTGGTAGATCCACAGAATGGTGAGCAGCTGAGGGTCACCTCAGGCGTCGTCAAACCTTATACCTAGATAAGACATCAGGGATAAAACATGATTAATTCACGACAAAGCAAAATTATTGAAAACCGTGTAAGAGATACAGAGCCATTGCATTGTTGGGATAATATTCTCACTGATAACATTTTGAATATTTGTTGGCTGACAGTATGATGGATTAAACCTAAATTCTGTACCAGTAGGAGTTGTGATAGATGTTGAAGATTGCTGAAATGATGGACAAAGCCCCCCCCCCCCACCACCACCCCCAGCTCTGGAATTAGCAGTCACAGCGAAACGCATCCTTTTGAGTTTCCTGTTTCGCAGAATATTGCAACTGTACTGGCGAGAAATCAGGTCTGTACCAAAAATGGACACAAAAAACCCCATCCAAAACAAATTGGCTTCTCATAGTGTGGGGAGGTCTTCAGACAGTTCAGACAGCTAGGCTAGTTTGTCTCCGGGTAAATATTCGTGGAAAAACATCTGCACAGGGGTGAGTGATCGTATCCGTGGCAGAACAGGGATTCTGGGTTTCCAGTTCATCCCAGTGCTCGACCTTCATGAGTAAAATGTCGTGTTGAAAATGAAGGTGGCCCAACAGATAATTTACTCCCACCTGGAACATCCAGATGATGTCACTTCCCATCCTAATGGTGGCGTTAATTACCTGGGTTCTGGAATGCGTGGAGAACTCGTCTGGGCCTGGATTGGCTTCCGGTTCGTGACGGCCTATTCCTATTGGTTCCTGCTATAAGTGGAAGGTTTGACGCTCTGCTGGAGTGCTGGATCTCTGCGCTGCTGGACAGAGACCCACCCATATGTGTAACTGAATAGTTAAACATTCAGCTTAACTAATTACAAAATAGAGGTACTTTATTGATCGAAATGCCTTTTTGCATCTCAGATAGACTATAGAATAGTCTTATTAGGTTCTTGTTGGTTAGAAGTTGTTGTGTAGCTCCTGCTCTCATACTGCTTACACTTGAACCTGGGCTTTCACTGGAAGGTCAGTCTAGCTGCATTTATGCCAAGTCAACCCCTTGACAGCATGCATCTCATGTAATGACTATTTGTCTCACTTTTCATCACTTTGGACAAAATCGTCTGTTTAATGTAACTCTTGTTGGCCATGAGACACACATACAGGTAACGGCGAGTATTGGGGTCAGCCTATGCTTTGATAAGGCCAGCATGCAGTGCCCATGGAGAAATTGGGGGTTAAGGGTCCTGCTCAAAGGCCAGACAGTGGCATTGGTCTTCTGGTCATGGGATTCAAACCACTGAACTTCCGACCTGCTGATTGCGGGCACGAAGTCCTAGTAACTGAGCCACATGCCGCCCAAAGACGCAGAGCTGCGGCTCTGACTCAGTCGGCTTTGAGGAGAGTTGGAACACCCGGGCAAGATGAAACGGCTTTCAGAAGCACTAAACGTTCATGTCGGAGGTGACGGGTTCAGAGGGAGAGACGGGCCTCACTGGGATTCGCGCCCCCCTCCCACAGGACCACCTGGTGTGTTTCCTGCCAGGCACGCTGGCACTGGGCACGCACCACGGCCTACCCGCCGACCACATGGAGCTGGCAGCGCAGCTCGTGGAGACGTGCTACCAGATGTACGCACAGATGGAGACAGGCCTGAGCCCCGAGATCGCCCAGTTCAACCTGCAGCCTCGTAACAGCCGCGACATTGAGGTCAAGGTGGGTGGGTGGGACGTACCACATCTCCCGATTTTGGCGGGGGGTGGGTCTGATCATAGTTTCGAAATCTTTTATTCCTCAAAATTTGTATTTTTACTTGCCATGTCCGTGTTATATTCATATTTTCAGTCCTTCTTGGTATCAACTACATAAAAATGAGGGTTATGTTACTGCTTTGCCAGGAAAGTCTCCAAAGTCGCCTAAGCAGGTGTATCGTCATGGATACACATTTAACATCTTTAGCAAAGTAGATGCCAGATGCGTTACGCCCAGTCTGCTTTTTCTGGCTTCACTAATCAGTGGCACTGCTTGTATTTATGAAAATCGCTCTCTCTCCACTCTTGCCATGCTTATGTAATATGTGTGTGACTCCCTCTCTACAGGCTGCAGACAGACACAACCTCCTGCGGCCAGAGACAGTCGAGAGCCTGTTTTACCTGTACAGGTTCACCCAGGACCAGAAGTACCGTGACTGGGGCTGGGAGATCTTTCAGAGCTTCAACAAGCACGCCAGGGTGAGCCGTGTTCTGAGGATCGGGGTGAAACGGGCTTTTAGAAGGAGCTGGAGCTCAGAGGTACGACTGCAGCTGTGAGCCTTCGAGCTGCGCTGCGGAAGTTCCTGGAAACGGCGTCCGGCAAAGGCACGGAGCGGGGATTTGCTCGGGATTTCACACACAGACCACGCGCCGCTCTCCCTTTAAACGAAGCGTAGAGTACAAATGAGCGCAGCCAGTGAGTTATCCCCCTTCCTTTACATGCAGTTCAGCCGAGACTCCAGCCTCGCTCACGTTAACTGCTGTACTTGCACACGGCCGCTGATTGGATTGAGGCGTAACGTCCAGAAAGACGTCCCAGTGGGGGCCGGCGTCCCCTAGTCAACCCTCAGACAGCTTTTCTGAAGTTATCAAGATGAGGGAGGCATTTCCCACTTAAATGAATATTCAAAAAGCGGTTACATGAGAGTGCATGTCATATTACGTTGTCAGGTTTAGAACGTTTACATGGTGCATATCAACAAGATAAGATGAACCTCATTAATCCCACAAAGGAAAATTTCAGTGTTCAGCAGTTATAGACGGGATCAGACAATACACTCAACATAAGGGCACAGTATGAAATGATATAAAAATCTAAACAATGTGTTGTATACAAACAGCCAATAGTCTAAAACCTGGGTTTGTACTGTATAAAGTGACGAGTGTCAGATTGTAGGCCTTGGTTCTAGGTGGTTCAGTGAGGAGACATTTCAGGTACACCAAGATGGTTAAAGTAATCATAAATTATGTGGACACGGGCATGGAGGCCTTCTCTTTCTGGTATTTCGATGCTACTGATTTAATCTTCTGTGCCCAAGGTTTCCACTGGCGGCTACACCTCCATCGGCAACGTCCGCGACCCTGCGAACCCCAGCCCTAAAGACAAGATGGAGAGCTTCTTCCTGGGAGAGACGCTCAAATACCTCTACCTGCTCTTCTCTGACGATCCGAGCCTGATCAGCCTGGACGAGTATGTTTTCAACACGGAGGCACACCCCCTGCCCATTTGGCCATCTGGCTCTTGAGTGTGGTGGGGGGGGGACTGCCCCTGAGAAGCCTACAGGGCTCAGGGGACTTTTCTTTTGAGCCTATTAGCTCTCCTGGTTTGTGGCTTTGCTACTTTGTTTCATTCAGATTGAGGAACCATACTGTATCCGTGGAAACGTAAGGGCCAGAATTTTATTGGCTGTGACTCTGATTGTGTCACTCAGCTTGCCAGCCTCCAGCAGGGTTTTACAGGGAATAAATCCCAAATGCCAGAAATGACAATCAGCGCTGGTGCCGGCATGTGATTTAGCTGTTTGTGGAGGAACAACATCCATGGAGGAAGCTAGTAGGCTGACCAACCCCCATTCAAGGTCTTGCTGAGGTCTACCAGAGGAGCTGTTGAGGAGCTCTGATTTTCTGGGGAACAGCAGCATAGAAGTTACTGTTGAGACTGAGCTTACACGCTGTGCAGCTTCCTCAGAAGAGCCAAGCGCATTCAAATAGCACATCCATAACCGTGTGGTGGCAGGCAGCTTTCTGTTGCACTGAATGTTAGAAGCTGCTTTCAAAGAGGAGGTGGATAGGGTTCCATCCTATCCATTAATGGCCTGTCCATCAGCTTGCGACCGGGGTCCACGCTGTGCAGTGAGGGAGCTGTCACTCTTTCCTGTCTGTCTGCTGCTACCCTACCTTTTACAGTCAGTTCTTTTTCTGATGTACAAATAAATAACACGCTTGACTGAGTGATTCAAACTTGAGGTCATTTCCCTGTTCGTAACCAGTGAGGTTTCTAATTTATGAGTAAGTAGAGAATTTCCCATCGATTCCTGAAAGGAGAATGAAGGGTGTGTGTGTGTGTGTGTGTGTGTGTGTGTGTGGTTTAGGTTTATATTACATTGTGGGAACCAAATGTTCTCCACAGTATAATAAAAACCTGTTTTTTTGACGCTGTGGGGACCATTTCCAGGTCCCCACAAAGATCTGTGAATTCAATCAAAAAAGTATAAATGCCAAAAGTCTCGTATGTAGTTCAATTACTTATGATTAAGGTTAGGGCTGGGCAGGGGTTAAGGTCACCATGTTGGGATTAGAGTTTTCCCCATAGAAATGAATGGAGAGTCCCCACAAAGATATCATTATGAACCAGTGTGTCTGTCTGTCTATCTGTCTGTTTGTTTGTTTTAGTTGTATTGTAAATGATCTCATAGACATGCTGTGTTTCAATGATTTAAAAACAACCCCGGGAAATCGCAGGGTAACAATCTTAGGGTACCACCTGACTATCTTTACCTGTCTGACAGAAGCTAGTGTTTGGTTTTGGTATTTTTGTCACTAAGTCACGTCTTGAACAATTGAGGACGTTGGTGCTTTTGCAGGATGCCATTTCTTTGCAGTGGCTTTTCCCCACTTTCATTTCCAATTCTTTTTACTGTGAGAGCTGCAGCTTCAATAAAAAAAGCAGCGTTCAGATTTGAGGTGGCGACACGCTGCCTTATCGCCTGTCCGTTTCTAGTCATAGAATGAAAATAAATTTAAAAACTGGTTTCTGGGTGATCTCAATGGGATGTGATGCTTTAAGAGTGGGCATGACAGCCTCTTTAATCACCCTGTTTCTTATTTGTATGCTATGTGTTAATATTAGGGTTTTAACCAGCCGTATGGCTGGATGTTTACTGAGAAGCTGATTGACAGATACGGTTAGCCACAGTTCTGGTGGTAAGCCCAGCTTGTCTTGAGTACAATCCTCCACACTGTCTTGATAAAAGGACCTTCTTTCGTCTCTGGGAATGTGCATTCGCGCTGTCTCTCTTCCGAAGGCTTCATTAACGGCACATTTTCAATCTCTTCTGCGTCCACAATATTGAAGACAAGGAGAAAATCGTTTTTACAATCTGTTAGCCTGGCCTCAACATTTCCAAATGGGATGGTACAGATCAGATATACAGCAGAGACTGCAGTACATCTACTGACCTATTATTTTCCACATAGTGAAAATAGGAAGAAATCCCGTCTTGCATGCAGAAACGAAGAAGGATCAACGTTTGAATAAAAATCAGCTTGGGGGGTTAATCCTTTAGGTTTTATAGTCATTGCTTTAAATCTTTAAATTAACCAGACCAAAAATAATTAGCCCTTCCATAGCCTGGCTTAAATTATGCCAGGGAACATGAATTGCTCTCTTATTAAAAATCATACATAAATTAACTTTGATCACTCGCTGAAATGTGAGGAAAGACATTCAAGCAATGGGATTTAACTATTTCTAAATATGTATAATTAGCACATTCAATGACCGGGCCAAGCCCATACTACTAAATGGCCTAGTTAAATTAAACTAAACTAAAGACGTTTAATTTTGTTGCTTTATTTTAATAACACAAAAACCTGTAAAATTGCATTGATGTCCGGGAAGTTTTGGCTTTGGTGCCGTACCAGTCGCTGCATTATAAAGCGAGAGCTCCTGCCTGGAAACCGATTGCACTTACTGTTTCCCAAATACCCTTATCCTTCATATCAAGACCGTATATCCAGGCAGAATGCGCACGTTAAAACCTGTAAATGTCACTCATTCTACAATAAAATGTTGTTGGGAAGAGCTTCTCTGGTTGGATTCATTTTTAGTTTGTTTTATTTAATTAAACGTGCAGTTTTGTTCCAATATAAGTGTATATTATAATAAAACACCTTAGTACTGTAGATTTTATTTACTAATCGGCGAAAAAATTTTTTTACTTAAGTTTACAAAATGCAGAGAATTTGTAAAATAAGATTTATGCTTATCAATCGCTTCGTGTGAGGGTATGTTTGAATAGCACTGGTGTACACGCACACGTAAAACATATTTGAACAAGTAATATTTATTAATACTTTTTTGGATATTGTCGTGCAAGTGCAAAAGAAAAGTGAATGATTATGTTGCCTTTTGTATGATTTAAAGCTAAACGCATTTTATGGGTGAGTTTTTTTTTATTGAAATTTATATTCGCCTTCATCCTCGATCGTTTTAAGAAGGGGAATGGAGGCGCATTTATGTAATGAAAACGTCAGCTAGCCTATACCTTCCTGGGACCGCTGCTGCCGTTTGATTTACTGCGTATAGGGAGGGAGGCTAATTTAACCTGGAGCTCCGACGAGATCGGCTGCGCGCGTGTGAGGATATTATGACTTCACCTCCTCTGAAATCGTTAGACCTGCTTACCGACGGGCTCTCTAGGCTATCAAATGTTGATTTCATTGCCAAATGTGGTGCGACGCGGTGCGTGTCCAACCAGGAGATTCTCTCTCTCTCTCTCCCCCTGGATCATTATTACCCTCGTGACAATCGAAAGCCTAGTACTCCATCCAACTATCTATCCATCCATTTTCCGAAACCGCTTATCCTATTCAGGATAGCGGGGGGTCCGGAGCCTATCCCGGAGGCTACGGGCGCAAGCCTAGATTTCGAAAACATTAAAATCTTACATTTTAAATAGCACTTAATTTTCCTTTGGCATGCAAAAGTACACCATTGATTCATTTTTAAAATCTCCTATCGCATCTCATACGGAAACAGTCTTTAAGGTCGTAATCGAACTAAAGCAATTTATCGGTGATCGTTGGTACAAATTTTTATTTGCTGACCTTCACAAACACATTAAGAATATGACATAAAAAGCCAAGAGCAATGCCTGCTGGAAACCCTCCAGAATAAAACGAATAGGCCACTGACCTTGCATGATTAACTCTGTTCGAGTCTGTTGAACATGAATAAATATGCGAAAAATGTCTATAAATAGGCTATGGCTAATAAATGTGTATTACATATGTAGGGTGCTAGTCACTAGAACTCCCTGAACATTTCATGAAGACGTAGACTTGCTCCTATTTGGTGACACTTAGGCAACTCTGTGTAGCACTGCAGACACGTTAGCACTAGGGGGCGCTAAAACCAGGGTCATGCTCTGGTTTTGCCTACACAGAAATGACAGACAAAACTGTCTATCATAATGTAAGCCTGGCAATACCTATGAAACAGCTATCTGCTGTCCTTTGTGTTACACACCTATTTCATATCCATACACTCAATATCACATATTTTGTCACAGCCCAGTGATACTGTCATCCATGGCGCGTTCACTTTCATCTTCATGGTTTCACACATCCCCCCTGCTAAATTAGCATAAATTGTACCGTCATCCATGATGTGGTTTTTAGCCATAGGCTTGACAGTCTGTTCAGATTTTCCAACTTGTAACCCAACAGTACAGAGAAGAAGTTCCGGAAAAATTCTGCTAGTTTTTGTAATTGTTCCATCTATGTATGTCAGGTGTGAGATGTTCTCTTGTGGGACGCCAGTGCTGACTCACCCACAATGTTCAGCGCAGACATTCTGCAAAGGCTGCTGCCTTGACTCGCTGCTGTACAGTCTATTCAAGCATGACAGCAGCAGGATCAAGTTTGTGGATCACATCAGAGATGGTGATGAGACTGCCAGCAGAAAGGAGGTAAAAGACCTGACTTTATGGCACCATCCCATCAGCCTGCCCAACAAAACATTGGAGATCATCCACAACTTCAGAAGGACCAGAGGCTTCCCCACCAGTGACATCCCAAAAATATCAAAGATTGGAATCTGGACCAATCCAGGCATTTTTTTTAACTGATTGATATTGGCTGCCATGCAATTTACCACAATCTACACAATCTACCACAATTTCCCGCATCCGCCCAATTTACATTAGTTGCGTAAATTCCATCACATCCGACAGGGAGGCACATGGGTTGAAACTACAAACTATCGAGACTTCAGCCATGTGGATGTTTTTAAAATGGAAACTCAAAGAAGCTCAGCAGCTACCTGCAAGGTTGGTGATGCCAAGTTTTTGAGAGGAAGTAGCAGCAGAGTGTCGTTTAATGTAATAAATCTAATTAGGTATTTGCAGAAACATCATAATAACGAAGAATACTCCAAAAACGCAAGGCTTTTACTCAGACGAAGAATACCCCGACACAGCTTTCATTGGAAAATGTGCCAAGACGAGAAATTTGGTCGAGACTGTGATAAGGTGAGAAAAATAACTGAGAAAATAATTGAATTCATTTATTTGGATGACCAGCCAATTTCCGTGTTAGAAAGCATGGGCTTTTCTCACAGGTTTATAGAGCATCTGGAACGCTTGTGTTCCCTGCCCTCCTCTATACCAGAACATTACAGCAAAGTTTGTGACCACCAAGGACTTTGCTTAAGAGATGTAGCTGCCATTGCTTTCATGACCAGCATTTAGTCTTCAGATGTACAGTACTTATTGGCCTAATGTATGGGTATATTTAAATATTTCTCAAAAGATCAGATTGGGACTCAGAATTGGCAGATATAAATATCGAATGGATTGGATGCAGATCGAAGTACCAAAAAAGTGGATTGGTCATCCCTACTCTCCACTGTTCCTCTTTGGGTCTCTGGTCGAGGCAGTGAGCAACTTCAGGTCCCTGGACATCCAGATCACAGCCTCCCTCTCATGGTCTGTAAACGCCAGCTGCGTCCTCAGGAAGACTCAGCCATCAGGCAAACCAGTGACCAACGTCTATCATCCCATTGCATTATGTTGCTATTGATAAAATCCCTCTTGCACTTTATCTATATCTGCATCTCATGTTTGTTTACTCTTCTATACTGTTGTCCATTTGCCATTTTGCCAATATTTATCACTTGTTGTTACTCACCTTGCACTCTTGCTTTTGTCTTTTCTTGTATTGCTTTACTG